CCTAACCATCCCCAATGGCAAGTTCTTTAATTCTTCTATAAATTAGGTATTTCAATACACCAAGAAAGTTGATGAATCAAGAGAGCAAGAACTAATAAGCAATATTTTTAAGAACCAACAAGTTATATTTTCATTCTCTTAAAGAATCAATAGTTGTTAGAACCTAAAATCCATATCTTTTGTATTTGTTGTATCCAAGCTATATTGTATTATTCATTAATCATATTTCTTTGTACATCATTTAAACACTTAGCTTTTGAAATGTGTTTTAAGTTTGCATTTTTATTAAGTGATTTTGTAATCAAGAGGTGATGTATCTTCTTAAATTTATGAGATCGAGAGGTTGCTAGTTAGCTGAGAAAGTAAATAATGTTAGGTTACTAACTAAGCCTTAGGAAAAAGAAAGAGTTATAATTTCAATTTAAGAATAGTGGATCGAAGCCTTAGTGTAGATAATCAAGAAAGAGGACATAGGTGTCTTAAGGAGAAGGACCAACCCTCTATATATATTTATTTTTTATTTCTCTATCCCTACACTTTTACATTTATTGTTGTTTATATTTGATTCTAGGCTTATTAATTGTTGTTGATAACATCACATTTTCATTGAAGAGCATATTATTTTTAATCTTACATTAAATTGTTTTGAAATCATTATTTGAGAAGATTTTGGAAAAATCCAATATATCAATTCTTGGATCACCATTTTACCTAAAATACTAACACCTATGAAGCAATACATAATTTTTTGAGAGTAAAATAAAAGTAATAAAATAGAGAAAAATTAATATTTTTAATTTTTAAATATTGTTGAATTATTTTACTTTTATATTTATAAGGCTAAAGACGACATTACGCATATAAACTCCTTCAAATTCGCAACCTTCAAGTATTAATTCTAATATTATTTTAACTAATTCAAAGATCAATTGGCAAGAAAAATTAAGTTGCATGCATGTTCAAAAATATTTTGATAATTGAAAAAATAAATAGTTCTAATGAAAATTTATTGATACCAATACTATAAAACAACTACATAAAAAAATAAAATGTGAATAATTGAACTATTAAAATATAACAACAATTCAATCACACTAAAAATTAATTTGGAATTCAACTTTCAAAAAATTCTATCTAACAAAAAAAGAAAATAACACATCAATGAAAAATAATTATAGAAAAATTTAAGATAGTTTTATCGTTAAATTGCTTGTGAAAAGAATAAATTTCATAAACTTTTTTATTCTTCAAAACTTATACCCTTTTTTCATTCAATAAAAAAAATCTCTTATGTTAGTTAATCAAAAGCTCATACCTTTTAAGTGGTAACTTTTAGAACAATGTAATGGAAGTTAAAATTTGAAATTTTACGATTCAATAATATTTTCTTATCACTAAAAATAATTACATAAAAATAAAAATTGATTAAAAGAAAATGCATAAAAATAATTGCGCGCAACACAAAGTCATTATCATAAAAAAAAAAAAAAAAAAACACATGTTTGGGGGAAAAACACAATTTATCACTACCACAAAATTTATTAAAAAATAAAAAGACAAAAAATAGTTAATAAATTAAAAAACTTAAGACATTTATTCCCTAGCAATAAAAGTATCACAAAGAAAAAAAATGAGAACCTAATATACTGTTATAACAAAGCAATTACAATATCATGGCAATGAATATATATATATATATATATATATATGTATGTATGTATATATATTGTACTGATGCAATCTATTTTTTCAACATCCGAAAAAATCCTTACTTATAATATAGGTTTTCTAGGATGAGTCTTAAAAATAATTATGGAATGATTTTTAACTTTTAAATGATTAATTAATTCAAATAAATTTAAGAATAAAATTAAAATTGATAATAGTATTTTAAATTGAGAGTAATTTATGTTTGACAATTAAAATAATTAAATATGGTGTGAATTTAACCAAGGGGAAATGTTAAAATAAAGATTTTGAAATTAGTATAATAATGGTAACGGAGTTCATATGATCTGCTAAATACCAAAATTAATTTTAATTTATTTGATTATCTATTAATCATTAAAAATCAATATATATACATATTATATCTGTATGTATATATATAGCTTAAAATTGGAGTAAATAAATAGGTTATAGGTTAAAAAAAATTGGTAAGTGAATATTTTATTTTCACAAATATAATTTAAGAGTTTAGTATTTATAATTGGAAAAAGAGGACACAAAATTACTTTCGATGGCAATTAAAGTTTTTATAATCTTTACTATAAATTTAATTGAGAGTCATTTAAAATAAATAATAAATGTAATTAATTTTTTAAAAAAAATTTAAATAAAATAAATGTATTAAATAGATAACCTATGATATTTATTTAAGAGTATACACATGTCAAAAAAATAAAATATCTACATTGAAATTTTTTTTTTACAAAAAGTTTTGACTTTTATATATTTATATAAGATGATAAAAGAGAATATCCATGATTCCAATTATGTTTGACTTAACATTTTCTTGGTTTTGTGTTCATATCTATTTGTTTAAAAAAAAATTATTCCAAAAGCATGCCAAAGTATTTTTATTCAAAAATTAGTTAATTTAGCTACTTGGACCTAGCACAAGAGGTCGAGGAATCACTTTTATTTTCAACTTTTAAAAGTTTATACAAGTGTTTTAGGAAATTGTGTTAACGCTATTGCTAAAGGTTATTAAAAGATATTATTTTGCTAATATGGATATAAGGCTTAATTAATCAATTTAATTTATGCAAATACTTTTAAGAGATAATATTAAATAAATTTGATGTTTAAGTCTTGAAATCCCTTCTTTTATATTTAAATTATGATCTTCATAAAAAATATTACTAATTAATATTAAACATAATACCTTCATTTAATTCATTAAAAGTTATCAAATTATTTTCCAATAATTGTATTTAATTTAATATAAACATATTCTCATACATAACATTTTAACAAGAAGATCATCCAATAACTATAACTATATGCTAAAGTAAATTCCCATGGAAATGATGATTTTATACTTTCAATTTATTTGATAATTGCTTGTAACGTGTTTAAATTTATTGTAATGCTTCCCACTTCATAATCAATTAAAATTATTATAATACTTTTTTATCATAATTACAAAAATATTTTTATTATAGTTTATTAAAATTACTATAATACTTCTTTTATTATAATTACAAAAATACACTCTTATTTAATTGGCCACAATTACTATAATGACTAATGACCTTCTCATCATATTATCTGAGTATCTCTTTTATCATAATTGATTAAAATTATTATAGTACTCTTATTAAATTATGTATTAAATTTTAACATATTATAAAATTAATTACATATTAAATACAAAATACCATTGCCATTGCTTCATGAAAATTTGATATATAGCATTTTATAAAAATTATAACAATATCTTTATTAAACCATTATTAAATTAATTATAAAAGACTTAATGACATATTAAATTATTATAATAAAAAATAAAAAATATAATGTCATAAATATCTATACCAGTATATTAAAAATTGTTTTAAATAGAATTGATTATAAAATTTCTCTAATTATTTGATCTAAGATTGATTGGTGTCCAAAAAAACTATAATGTCAGTCTTCTCATAATTAGTCAAAATTATTATGTTAAAATATTATTTTTATGATAATTTAAAATATTATATAATAATATGATATGAAAATAAGATATAAAGTGACACAATTTAAAATTATAGTAATAATTATATATGTGTTTAATAAAATAAAAAAATTGTATTTTATATTTTCGTGTGGACACGAATTATGACAAAAAATTTTCGTATAAAACACAATACAAATACATAAATTTTAATATTTTATATAATATAAATATACAAACTTTTAAATCTACTTAAAACAGAGACAAATCTATAAAGAGGCTGGCAAAGGCGTGGCCCCCTTTGGTTTTTTAAAATAACTTTTAACACAATTATATTTTTATCCGGTAAAATCATGTTCCTCCCAAAAAAAATTTTAATAATTTGGCTCTTTCTTTAGGAACAACTATAATAATATGATAAATTTTATGCGTTATTAAAATTTTTACTTGTTGATGTAATAAATAATTTGATTTTCTTTCATTTTTTAATAAAAATTTACTCTTTTTAATGTAATCATTATTATTTCATTGAATTTTTTAATTCCTTAAAATACAAATTTCTTTTCAATTAATTAAACAAGCATATTGACATTAATTATTATGTTAAAATATTATTTTTATACAGGCAAAAAAATACAATTAAAAATTTTAACTACCTATATATATTATGCACATAAAATGGCAAATTTAATTGCACATTATAATACTTTATTTTTATCGAATTTTTCATTTTTAAAATTTAACCTTTTAATGTATTACTTTTATTCTTTATTTTTTTTGAAAAAATTATTAGTTAGATTTTAATTGTTCTTTAAATATTCAACAAAATTTCTTTTAATGGTGAAAAAATTTTATATTTTTTACTTAATTATATTATTATTTATATAATATTAATTTTTTTATTAAATTTTGTGTCAATTCATTTTAATTTTATATCGATCCCTCCAAAATGAAAGGTCTGGCTTTACCTTGGCTTAAATATAAGAAATTAGATAAAAAAAATTTTAAAATTATAAGCATGCATGAAAATGTTAGGTCAAACCTCAATCAATCAACTTTAAAAAAGCATATCAAATAATCTTAATTCAAATAACTAAACATGCATAGATATGAACACTTTATTTTTCCATATGTTTGGATTGAAATAAAAAAAAAGTAAAAAGAAAAAAAGAAAAACCTTTCCTCAAAATTTTTAAAAATTTTTAATTATCTTAAATTGAGAAAAAAAAAACATAACTTAAAACATGAATTAGTTAATTGCACGAAGCTTAATAAGGCAAGGCCCATCACAGTGATAAATGGGCCAAGGTAGGAGGTTCCTTCTTAAATGTAGCAAAAACCAAACGCCTAACGCAAACTCATCCCTTGAAAACGCAACCGTAAAAGGGTAAGAAAAAAAGAAACAACAATCTGCAATTCACAGCCACAAATATAGTGCGTCAGAAGGGAGCAAAGACAAGAAAAAAAATGAGTATCGGGGTAGGAAAAACCGTGTGTGTAACTGGAGCCTCTGGTTACATCGCTTCATGCCTTGTTAAGCAGCTTCTCCTTCGTGGTTACACTGTCAAAGCCTCTGTTCGTGACCCAGGTCAGTTTTTTCCCATTTCTTTTTATATCAATTCATTCTTTTCATTATTTCCTGATCTTGTGTCTTCATCATTTGTTCATGTTTTTTCTTGGGTTTGAATCTCTTTTTGTTTTTTTTTTTTCATTTTATTTGGTAATATCTGATGTGTTTTGTTCTGCTTTGTATTTTATGTTTGTATGGTATTTCTTGGTTTTTTTCCTTGTGATTTGCACTTGTGCATGCAAAACAAGAAAGTACCCATTTTTTCTACATTGTTACGTTTTTCTATTCTTTGATTGCATATTTTAATGAGGTAAAGATTTCTGGAGACAGCCCAATTAGATATTCAGGTTTCTACTAGTTTTGAGGTGAAATTGATGCTTGTTCTTCTTATGTACATATGAGATGCCTATTTTCATTTCGTAATACATTTCTCTGTTGCTAAAAGTTTTAGAATTTTGCTTGATAAGAAAGATAGAAATGTGAAAGTCTGGAAAGAAGAAAAGTGAAAGTAAGGATTTTTTTTCCTTCCAACTAGTGTGGTTGCTTGGTAGTTGGATGGAAAGTATATTAAAAAGAAAAAAAATTTTATCATCCATTGCTCAAAAGAATTGGAAGTGGAAGAAAGATAATGAAAATCAAATCATTTAACTGTTACACCATTTCCAAGCTGAGATTAAGTGAAAATTTCTAAAAGAATGTGGATAACATTGTAAGTTTGTAACATTTAAATCACATATTTCCCATTTTTTTCCTTATCTTTCTAATTTTGAGTATTGATTTTTATTAGCGTTAATAGAAAATTGTAATAGCTGCAAGTTTCTTTCCTGTAACCTTTTTTTAATCATAACAACTATGTTTAAACCCCACATCTCTTTCTCTTTTTTCTCCACCCACCCTTTACCATCCTCTCAATATTCTCTTCTACCAACCAAGCCCAGTCAAAAAGTTTATATTGTTAACCAAATAAGTTTAGAATTTAGAGAAATTATAATGCCATTAATTTGCAACTATATGGGCAACTGCAATTTAGCATGAGACAACTTATAGTTTTTGCGAGTAATTTTCCTTTTTTCTTTTCCCTTACTCTTTCTTGTCCTTACTAGTGTTACTTAGATGTTTCCTAAACTATTTCAATCATTGTAATTGGTTATTATTCCTCAATAGATGATCCAAGAAAGACACAACACTTACTTGCACTTGATGGTGCTGAGGAGAGGCTTAAGTTGTTTAAGGCAAACCTATTGGAAGAAGGTTCCTATGATTCTGCTGTCGAAGGTTGTGAAGGTGTTTTTCACACAGCATCTCCCTTTTATCATGATGTCACAGATCCACAGGTTGATCTTGAATTCTTTATGTAGATAACCCTTTTGTTCCCCAGTGTGTATAATGTATTGTGTTCTAATAAAACACATTGAAAGTTGTTATGTTCTCAACCAGTTATTTAGCCTTTGGCGATGTGTTTATAGAGGGAGACACTTCATATTTTTAAAGATTTAAGAGGTATTTGCTATAAGATTTATGACATACATACTAATAAAACCATGGTGGTCACTGGTCAGTGATGAGTGTGACCACCTTCAATTATTTCAGTTTGTAATATTTTAAGAGTATGGTATTTGTTTTTTGTTAGCATAAGCCTAGCCAGCTTTTTCTCTTGGCTGCTCTTTAGCTTTTATATCTCTCTTCTCGATTAATAAGTTTTTAACCCTTCCTTTCTCATATCAGGCAGAATTACTTGATCCTGCTGTGAAGGGAACATTGAATGTTCTGAACTCATGTGCTAAGACCTCTTCTGTCAAACGAGTGGTCTTAACATCTTCTATGGCTGCAGTCGCGTACAATGAGAAGCCTCGAACTCCAGATGTTGTGATTGATGAAACTTGGTTTACTGATCCTGATTACTGTAAGGGCTTAAAGGTGCGTATGTGTGCTATCACATCTGATGGCGTGTTGAGTTTTACATGGAACTTCAACCAGTTATGGCTGAAAAAATTGTGGAAAAATAAACAAAAAAAGGATTGCATATGGGGCTTAAACTAAATGAAAGTATATTAGTTGCAAATATCATTGTTCATTATTATGCTATGGTTAGGTTTACAAATATCGGTAGTTTTAGTTGTTGAACAAACAAGTACAACATGCTAAATGAAGATATCGTTCACAGTTTTTATCATTTTTATTGTTATGGCTATGGTTACTGTTGGTTGGAGGGAACTATGCATTACCAACAGATATCTTGATGCTTCAAGGTCCTGATAAGCAATTTATTCTCAGTTTTGTTTTCTCAATATTTTATGAATCCTCGATGATAGGTCCTACTTGTAAAAAATGTGAACTTGAGTAGTTGAACTCTGAAGCCTATCAATGCTCTTTTTTTCACATTGCAGAATGGGTTCCAATCCCATAATTTCTATAGATTTCCAGTCTTAGATACTTGAATTTTACTGATAAATTTGGTCCATCCTGCCAATCTAATCCTCTGGGTTATCATTCTGGCTTCTTTGGTGAACAAATATGAGCATCTGGAGATTAGGATCTAAACTGTAATAGGCATATTCTCTCCTAGGAACTATTGTGTTTTTGAGGACTTGTAGATTGGGAAACTCTGACCCTTTTTGACTTGTAACTGGCTACTTCTTTCATCGAAGTTGGTTCTGTTTATCACCATATTCTATTTTAGGATTTGGCCTGCTGATATTGTTCTAACAAGTTGTGAGAATTCTTCTGAACATATTTTATTATTTTGTGCAGCATGATGGGAGAAAGGCTTACTTATTTTCCTCCTTTGTGCACATGCTTATATAGGTCTCTACGCATTTTCTTTACTGTTTGGGTTCTTTGCTTCAATGCATCATCTTGCAAGCTAAGTTTAAGATTTCATCCCATTCTAGCAGCTAATCCTGTGACCATCAGTTTGATGCCCTTTTAGCATGTTGAGGACATTAATCACACTTCTCCATACAAATTGTGCAAGGTTGCATTAACTGGCTGGTTGTTGCTGCTATAATTTGCTTTCAGTTTCTATGTTTGTACACTACCGAATTTGTTCGTTCTACAACCCTATATTGTTGTGCATCACTATGTATTTTATCACTATGTATTTTTTCTGTTGAAATATATATTTCCTCTTTTTAATTAATTAATTTTTTGCTGTTTAATTTTTTTTGGTTCAGCTTTGGTATGTAGTCTCAAAAACCATGGCTGAGGATTCTGCCTGGAAATTTTCAAAAGAGAAGGGCATTGACATGATTGCCATGAACCCTGCAATGGTGATTGGTCCTCTTTTACAGCCAACTCTTAATACAAGTGCTGCAGCAGTTTTAAGCTTAATTAAAGGTACTTTTTGTCAAGCTACTATCTGCTTTCTCAACTTAAACATTTTGCTTTTTTCTTTTCGCATAAAATTAATAGAAAAAAAAAGATAAAAACAAAAGAAAAAAAGAATATAAAACAAAAGACAAATAGCAAAAGTATCAACCATTGGGTAGCTTAGAGATCTTAGAGATTCTAGATGGAGTGCCACATGAGCAGAATGTGGAAGTTATTCCTTTCTGGTTTGTGTGCAACACTTTTAATAAGCATACCACGGTTTGGGGCCTATTGAGTGAAAAATACGTCTGCCTCAGTCTACCTATTAATTTGTATATGTTGCTTCTTATATTTGATAAAGAAAAAAGGAAAATTGGAGGGGGTGGAGTCTGGTTTCTGATTTCTTTATGTGAGCAATCAAGGTTTGGAGTCCTTGAGAGAGAAAGGCAAAGTGGGTGGAGCCATCATTTTCTTTTTAAGACATCAATGATTTTAAATACATCAAATTACCACAAATTTCGGTTATTTGAATGAAAATATTATGCCCAGGTTTTACTTGCTGGATAATTTTTTACTTTTCAAATTCAATCATTTTTTTTTGTGGCTATTTACTTCATGTTTTATTGTCATTAAAACTTATTGAATTAATGGTTTGCAAAAGTTTTAATTGTGAACAAGCGATGAATTAATTTTAGGAATTTCATTCATTTAAGTTTCACTAGCTGGGATTATTTATCTCTATTTTATCTTTTGTTCTTTCTACAGGAGCGCATACATTCCCCAATGCAACTTTTGGTTGGGTCAATGTTAAAGATGTTGCAAGTGCACATATCCAGGCATTTGAGATTCCATCAGCTAGTGGAAGATATTGTTTAGTCGAGAGAGCTGCACATTACTCAGAAATTGTGAAGATCTTACGCGAGCTTTATCCTTCTTTCCAACTTCCCGAAAAGTAAGTTTTTGAATTCTAAATTTTACAGCATATCTACCCTGTGCTTCTCTATCTATTTCTAAACACTTTGGCAATACTTTAAATAATCAAATCCAGTCCTAGGAAGAAAATATCTTACATGTTATGTTGCATTGGGACATATAATGAAGCAGTGGCCTTTGGATAAATATTGGCAGATGTGCAGATGACAAACCTTATGTGCCAACATATCAGGTGTCAAAGGAAAAAGCAAAAAGTTTGGGTATAGAATTCATTCCTTTGGATGTGAGCCTCAAGGAAACAGTTGAAAGCTTGAAGGAAAAGGGATTTGTGGATTTTTGAGTCTCATTAGCTCCCTCCCTGCAGGTTCTAATATAAATAAATGGTGAATAAATTATGGTGTTAGCTTGCTGTTGCTTCTAGTGTTTCTGGTTTTGATGGCTTATATATATGTATATTATTTTACTTGAGATTGGTGATGTTGGCCCCACTTTGCAGTTGGCTCTGAGCATAATCGTTCCTGATATTTGACTAGGACAAATGGTGATTTAGTAGAGAAAATTACGTTTCGATGGCATGATCCTGAGTTTCTAGTTTTCCCCTAAGCTGTTGAATTTCACTTCGGCTATAGCTTATCTTCTGTAATGAATTTATGAATTAATCACTCCACTGGCCTCTTTGTTCCATGGTAAGTACCAAGGTGACTTGAAATATTCAAGGTTCATAATTACCAGCAACCCCTTTTATTGCTGCGGGTCCAAAATTTTTTATTTTTAGTTAATAATGGTTCATGATGAATTTTATAAATCAATGAGTATAATTTTGTTTATAATTTTTTAATAAAAGTAATCATCATTAAAAATTTATCAATAGATGGTTGGTTCAAGTGGAAAAGAGGATGTATTCCTTTCTTTATTAATTGGATATGAATAATTTCTTATGAATTCATTAGATTTATTCTGGATGAGTTTGTTTGGATCGGTCCGAAGAAGAGATGTATTGGGTGAAACTCAAGAATCCCTTCTTGTTGAATAAAAAGATAAAAATTAAAAATTTATCAACTAATTTGTAAATAATGTATGCATTTTATTCTCAATTTATATAACAAATCAAATTTAAATTTACCCTTTCAAATTTATCTTTTCAAATAAAATTAAAAGTATTAAAATATAACTAAAAAAGGTTAAAACTAAAAGAAGGAAAGATCCGAGCGAAAATAAAAAAAGAAAGAAAGGGAGTCAAATGGGGGTGCTATGTTAACACTTTCACTTAAAGGATGATAGCGGGTCAAATAGTAGTAGATATATATTCGTCTCAAGTCTAACACTACGTTGGATTATTATTTTTTATACATAATCTCGATCTGATGTGTATATATATGTGTGTGTGAATAACATGCATTCAACTCGATTTGATAAAAAAATAAATTTAAAATAATAAAGCATTCATGAAAATATTATTTTTTAATATAAATTACATCTTAATTATATATAAATATAGTATTTTACTAATTTAAGGTTTTAAATAATAATTTTATTAATATAATACATATATATAAATAAATAATAAAACATATATTCTTAAATATATTCGAGGATAGGGCAAGACGAAACATTTTAAATCCGTCTTTGACTTAATCTCGATTTTCAACAAGAAAAAATTACTTTGTATTGACTTAATTTTGATTAAAAAAAATGATCATTCATGTTGGATTGACAAATTAAAACCCATTAAATATAAATTGTTTTGCCATCTATATCTCCATTAACTCAATTTCTTACAAAATTTATCTTATTATAAAAAATAAACAAAAAAAGGAAGGGCAAAAAAAAAAAAAAGTCAAATGGAAGTGTCAAATTAACATTTCTATCGTTCATTTATCTTTTCAAACATATATCTAAAATCTATAGATGAAAAAAAAAAAAAAAAAAAGCTAAACTAAAAAAATGACATAAGTAAAAAAGAAGTGAAATGGGGTATCACATGGAAATTTCCATTTAACGATGGCAATGGATTTGTCATAACATATAAGTCTATAAATCTATCGCTAGACATAACTTTAAGATTCATCACCAATATTTTTTACTTAAGTATGATTGACCACTTATCTGAATCTATTTCTTTTAAAAAAAAAATCTCAAACTTGACTCAAGTATCTTTGAAAAGATAGATTTTAGTTTATGAAATCAAAAATAGGTTCGAAAGTGTATTACACATGAGAAAGGTTATAGTATCCTTTCAATGTCCATCTAAAAGATAGTACTAACTGATTTTGAGTTATCCATTGAGCCCTAAAAAATTATGCATATTATGAATTATTCTTAACTAACTCTAATATCTTGGCAGAAATTTAAGAGAATTGCCTCATTTCAGGAATATATAAGAAAACAATTTTTTCTTTTGAAAAGGCTTTATCATCAGAAGATTTAAAATTGAAATTTAAGAAAAAATTTAATTTTAAGAAAAATTTTATATTTCAATTTCTTTATCAAATTTTTGTAATTTTTTTGTCTTAAGTAAATATTAATATTTCAACTTTTTTCTTAAATTTCAAAATTATTTCGTTTTAAAAAGGAAAATAGATATTTCCACTTTTCTCTCAAATTTTGAAATTATTTTTTGTTTTAAGGAAAAATTGATATTTCAACTTTTTTTAAAAATTTTTAAATTGTTTTTGTTTTAGGGAAAAGTTGATATTATAACTTTCTCCTCAAAATTTTGAAATTATTTTTCTTTCTAAGAAAAATTGATATCTCAACTTTTTTCTTAACATTTTAAGAAATATTTTCTTTGAGGAAAGATTAATACTTCAATTTTCTCTTTAATTTTCCCACACATTTTCTTAAAATTTTGAAATAAAAAATTTATCCCCCTAATCTAATGACTAAGTAATAATATTTAAGTAAACAAAAAAATATTATATATAAAAAAAATACTAAAGAGGTGGCTTGGCTTGACTTAGAAGTGGCTCAACTTGAGAAACAGAATGCAACTTAGTGGCTTAGTCAATGGCTTGGCTCAAACGGCTCAACAATAGCTTAACATGGTCAGGTCACAAGTTAAGCAGCATGGGTCAGGTCTAGTTAAAATGTGCAGATCCTTTTCTCCAACAAACGACATCATTCATATCCACAAAAAAACCAAAAAATGCTAAACAACCCCAAAGATGAAATGCGCTTGCACAATTGATAGCCTAAAAGGCATAAATCAAGTTGTGGTGAGTGAGCCTAGTCATGGTAGGTGGCAATAATGGAAGATGATGATTGTGGGGAATGGTAGGTGTCAATGGTGGTTTCGAGATTATAAAAAGAGTGCAACCTTAGCTTTATGAAGAAATCGCTACTAGATATGGCATAGAACTATTTTTTTTACTACTCTTGCTTTTCCCCCACCTGATTGTATAAAATTGTTGTTTAAATAAAAAAAAAAAAAGCTCAATTGAAATAAAGTTTAAGATTAAAACAAAGTTTCAATTCCAAAAGGATTTACTTTGCATTTGAAAATTTTATCTTGACATTGAATCTAACACTTTATCTCCAGGAGCAACACCATCTAAATCTTCTTTTGGATTTTTTTATTATTATTTTTTCTCTTCTAAAAAACATGGAAAGAAATAAAGTAAAATAATTAAATGAATACATAATGAGATGTCTATAGTTCAATTACATAATAAGTTTATAACCTAGATCAAACCCATAGTTCAATTACTCAATTCAAACCCAAAAAAAATTTAAAAACCCAAATTTCAACTAATGGTCTAAAAATCCGAAAAAACTTTAAAAGACCATGGATAAAATAAGATATCTATAGTTGCCTCTTTTTGTGCATTTTTTGTAGAACAGTAATTACGCAAAGATATAGCATCCATTACATTTGAGCTCAACTTATTTCAAAGATTTTTTTTTTTTTAAAAAAGCTATCCTAAACAACATTATCAAGCTTAAAATTAAAACAAGATACATAGATGTTTTAAAGATCATGCCTAGATGTTTTATAAATTATTCACATTCATCTTAAAAACCATACCCGAAGGTTTTAGAGATTATACCTTGAGATCTTGCAAATCATTCTTCTTAACTTTGCATGGAGGTCTTTAGAGATTTTGCATTGAAATCTTTTAAAGTAAATGCTCCATAATTTTAAAATTTGAAAAAGTTACCTAAAGGTTTTAAAAGATCATATCCGGAGGTTTTATAAATTATGCTTGAAGGACTTTGTAATTATGCCTGGAGTTCTTAAAATCATTTTTATCATTGAAAAGGTTCCTTTAAACAAATGTTTCACAACTTTAAAAATAAAAAAAAAGGGTATTTGGAGGTTTTAAATATCATATCCAATAGTCTTATAGGTCATGCCTAGAGAAGTTTATAATTATGTTCAGAAGACTTTGGAAATAGTATTTAAAAGTTTTGAAGATGTACCCAGAGATTTTGAAAGAACTACGGGAAAGTTTTAAAAATAACACCCAAAAGTTTTGAAGAAGATCACTTGAAGGTTTTAAGAAAAATTACCTGGAGGTTTTAGAAAATGATATTGGAGGTTTTCAAAATCGATACTATAAAATTTTAACAAAAATACCTTGAGGTAAAATCTCATTTGATTTACTTATGAGAGGTTTCTTATATAAAACAACCAAATCATATCTTAAAAAGTTTTTTCATTCAAAACTTTAAGCCTAAATCTTTCTCTCCTGTCTGTTAAAAATAGGCAATGAATGCAATACATAAAATGTATGTGATGCATAAAATGCATGAAATGCATACAACGAATGCAATGCATAAAATCAATACCATATGTCCTTAATTTTTAATTTTAGCATTTTCGATCCAAGGGTTAAAAAAGTGTAAGACTTATACTAATGTAAATGGATATTTCTCCCATATATAAATATAAAATTAAATAAATAATAAAATATATATTCTTATATATTTTATGAGATTGAACACCTTAAACTCATCTTCAACCTGATCTTGATTTCTAAAATGGAAAAATCATCATGTTTCAACTCGATTCTGATTTTAAAAAAGGGTCTTTGTTGGACCGATTGGTTGAAACCAAGTTAAATATAGGTTGCTTTGCCATCCTTATATTCGCTGACCCCATTTCTTACAAAATTTATCTTATTAAAAGAAAGAAAAAAGGTAAAAACTAAAAAAATAAAGGGAAAGGTTAAAAAATATAAAAAGAAATCCAAATAGGAGTGCCATGTGGACACTTCTATTACCCATTTATCTTTCATACATAGACATAGAATACTACAATAGACAATAAAAAAATAAAAGAAAATTAAAACTAGAAAAAGGAAAAACACTCAAGCAAAAAAAAAAAAAGAACCAAACAGAGTACCACATGGACACATCCATTTAAGGATGATAACGGGTGGAGCAGATTTATACTCATTGTGACTTTGATCTAACTTTTTAATATCAAAATCGACTTTGATCCTAACTCGATATTGAATTATTATTTTTGACACCCAATTTTGAACTCCCATCCCCCCCCCCACACACATATAGAGTATACATTGACCACAGTTGATAAAAAATTAATTAAATAATTTTTATTTAATATAATATTCTTAAAATATTATTTTTAATATAAATTACATCTTAATTATACATAAACATAGTATTTTTATTAAATTAAGGTATTAAATAATAACTTTATTAATATAATATAAATATAAATATATAAAAATAAATATATAAATATAAATATATAAAAATAAATAAATCCTTTTTCATTTGCCTTTGTCTACTTTAAAA